CTGGAACAGGCTGCCCAGAGAGGTTGTGGAGTCTCCTTCTCTGGAGATCTTCAAACCCGCTTGGACGCAGCCCTGTGCCATGTGCTCTAGGTGACACTGTGTGTGTGCAAGGGGGTTGGACTAGATGATCTCTAGAGGTCCCTTCCAACCTTGAGCATTTTGTGATTCCATGGAAGAGCTGCCTGCGAGTTGCAAGTTTAAAATGTATCAGTGGGGAGAGGTGTCATCTCTGAAGTGCAGCCATCCTGGCTGCTTTGCAGAAGAGCAATATAGCAATATTGGTTGTGAAGTCTCCACTTGAGTTCTGATATGGGCAAATTTCTTAGTAGTTTCACAGTGTGTGGACATAGAAATCACTATGCAACAAATCCCTTATTCCAGGTAGTGGGAGTGCCACTCCTAGCAAAACTCCTCTTTATGGACAACTTGGGACGGCTGTTTTGCTGAGGAGGCAAAACCGTAAGCCAAAAACACACATTTTGTCCTTTCTGATTCCAAATGTTTTCAGGCTGCTCCTGAGGAGCTGGTTGTTGCTGCTGCTCCCTTCAGCGCGTTTCTTCCCATGCCTCTCCAGGGAGAGTTGCGAAGGCCTCAGCATGTGGCTCTTGGCCTGGGGACTCGGCCTTCGTTAGCGAGTCTGGCGATGTCTCATCCAGAATGAGTCATTTGACCCCTTGGATTTTGCTTTATGAAATAAGAGGGTCACAGAAGCATCTTTCTAATGTGCCAGCATGCTCCTCCAGTGGCAAAAAGGGCAACTGCCAAGGAGCTGCAGCTCTTCATGTCTCCGTGACATTTTCATAAGCGGGGGGCATTCACTTGTAGACTTCCTACATGATTTCATTTAGTTAAATATACTTTAATTCCCATCCCACCCTGTGAAGCTGTATTCATTAGAGCAGCGGAAATACTGTGTTTTCCCCAGAGACAAATCTGTAAAGGACAAAATATCTAGAGAGCTTTGGGATGAAGAGGAAGCGCAGGAATTGCGTGACGTAATTTTTAAATAAAAATCCCAAGATGTTTATTAATTTGTAAAGGAGCAGTCCCTTCCCCCTTCTTCCCACCCCAAAATTATGAACCATTACTCTGTGGCTTGTAATTAAGTTACATAGGTGTCGACCATACAGTTATTGAGGAAATGCAGTTGGACTTACCCTATGCAGGCTGAAAATGCTAGTGAAAAGCAACAGCGATAGCAGGCTCAGCTGTGGGGCGGCACTGTTGGTAGTGTCTGGCTGTCATATTTCTATGTGCTCGTCTCGTAAGAGCATCCTGACAACTAATCAATATTGGTGCGTGGCCCTGGATGCGCAATGGGTTGGGTACAGGCAGCGCCCACAGGGCCATGGGCCTTTCTGCAGAGCTGGATGGGCTTGTAAAAGACTCTTTGACTTAGGCTATGCAAATTTTCCTTAGACATAAGCTATTCCCAGCTAGACACTTTTCTTTTTTCTTTTCTCCCCTCTGTTTTGGGGCTCCTCTTCCAAAGAAAGGGGTAGCACTGCATGTTCAGGTCTTTTTCTTTGGCTTATGTTGACAATATAGTCGCTAGTTTTCCACTGTTCCCAGAAATCTTTGTGGCAAATGTGCTTTGTTTGCCCATAAAAATCCTCTTTACCAGGCAGTTCCAAGGGAAGTTCCGTCTACAACCCATTTATTGCGAAAATTGCATGGGAATAATAGCCTGAAATATCCTATTTATTCACCAACCAACACTGCATGGGCAGCAATGCTGGGAATTGTCCTAAATTGCCCTGCTAGTTCTGGGGCTGTCAGCCCCAGTTTAGTTTCTGTAGCAGTCCAGTGCTGTCAGTTTTTGCATATTACTGCTCAGATTCTGGCTGGCAATAGTTCCAGATAAAAGTTTTTTGACATTCCCCCCTGCCCTCATGTTCTTGGGTGGATTTAAAAAAATACAAAAAGCAATTCTTGGCCCCACACTGCTTTGGCAATCCTATCCCCTTTTCCCTTTAGTATGTTTTCCACATATGGTTGTGAAATCCAGACTGACTTCTCTCCTAAATATAGAACCATCGTTCTTTTAAAACGATTGATGCAAGAAGTCTCATTTGCTTTCAAGACCCACCCCCTTTTCCTTTACAGTCTAATAAAGTACTGAGCATCCTTCTATTATCCATTTCAGTGTTGCTTTTGAAGTGACATTCTTATTTCTTATTTTTATTTTTGTCTTTTCTATTGCACTATACAGCTCTAAGCTCCTTGCATGCTTCTACATCATTAAATATTTAATTGAATCATTACTGATTGAATGATCAGGTACTACCTGTCTTTAATGAGGCCAGGTTTTGGCTTGCAGGTGAAAAATGACTGACTGTAAGTCTGGATCACAAAGCAAGGAAACTGTATGAGTTTATTTTTTCCTGGTTAAGCAGCATATATTTATGTTAACTGTACAAGAAACAGGAAACACCCTATGATTTTAGTAATAAGCTTAGAAAAAAATCTGAGGGTTTGAATGGCTTTCGCTGCTCTGGCAGTGTTTTTCTATTGTCAAATGTACAGTTACTTACTGCATAACTACTCAAAAGCAATTTCACCCCTGGAGCTTTCAGTTCTAGGGGCCTATAACACCCCCCAAACTGCTCCAGTTCTTTTGGCATGGGGAAGAATATTTCATGTCAGTGGAATATCATGGAAATAAACCAGTAAATGGCATTTTGAAGCAAATAATTTTATTCATGAAGAGAGGCAGTTATGCAAGTCTGAAATTAGTTGTCACAATTAATGACAGTTTTTAATAAGCAGACAGTTCTTCATGGGGAGGGGGCATGCAAAGTTGTAAAATGATTTTTAAATTGCCTACTGTTATTCAGATTTATTGACAGGCCTCATCCTATTTATGTAAGGTGTCTTTTGAGTTATAAAAGCAAGTTTTAAAAACCTCTTTGCAAGGACAAGGCAAAGCCAAAAACCTCTTTGGAAGCTTGAATAGATATTGGCGACAACTGCAGAGCTGCAGAGTGAAAAGTCTTGTCGCTTATTCGCCTTGATGGCCAAAGCTGTTTGATTTTGGGCCTATATCACAGCAAAATAAGTCTTCTGCATCTGTATAATGGAACTGATCTCATGGTTTAGTCTTATGGCTAGGAGAGCTCTTGGTTAGCAAATGTGATGAAATGATATTGTGCAACTCTAGTCATCTGGAAAACTGCCAGCATTTCAGTGCCAAAATTAAGGATGATTTCCTATATAACTTCCCGACTAGCAGCTTTCTCATGCTGCAGTAAAGTCTGCGTGTAGCCTTTGAAGACAAGATCAAGAACGTCACAAAATGAGGTCCGGTACAGTTTAATAACTGTGAGAGGATGAGGTGATTAAAGACAAAAAGGCTGAGGGCACCGGCTCAGTAAGAGCTGGTGTGTGTGTGTGCGTGTATATATACATATATATACACACACGAGTGTACGTATGTAAGGGGAGATGCACACACACGTAGGTCTATGTATTCCTAAGTGTATAAATAGGAATGTTAAAGTGTGCAGGTTCTCCATATACCTTTGGAAAGGATTTCAAGAGTTACTTTGCCACAGACCTTTTCCTTGCCTTTTTCTGTCGGATTCTCGGCATGATTGATAAGTAAAAAAAGTAGAGTTTTGTGCACAGGAACTTACTTCATGGCAGACCCTAAGTTTTAGGAGTACAGTGTGGGTAGAGGAAGATGCGCGTTGCCGGTTTAGTCAGACATGTGGTCACATCCTTTTGTTTGAATTTCTCCACATTTTTCAGGATGCGAGTGGGAGTCTGTTCCTGTTTGGGAAAACCTTAAGTGCCTCCTGCGATGTCCCTCCCGATGCACCTCTGATATTATAGGTCTCTTTAAAAAAAAAAAAAAAAATCCTCAATTGATGTTGAAGGTAGGATGAGCGTGGAGAGCTAACGATGTATGGGGAAGCTCGTGGTGCTTCTGCATCTTCTAATGAAGAAGCTGTGATGTAAGCAGTGACAAAACAGGGAATAAAAGGAATAGTAACAGCTAATGACTCCTACTTAGTAGTTGAATGCTGTTAGTTTAGATTTTTAACTTAAGAAGTGAAGTATTGAAGACAAAACTGCTTTTATTGGGTGGTCTTTCTCTCCTGATGGGAATAGCAGCCTTAGAAGCAATGGCAGAGCCCAAGTCTGTTGGTTTTCCTTCCAGGCCCACATGGTTTTTGCCCCGTCTTTGCTGGGTGGACACTGATATTTGTGAGATGTCTGGGCCCTTGGAGCCCCTGTGAGCAGTTCTATCTACTGCTCCCTCCGTTTCCTCCCCTTTGGCAAGGACAGTTTTCTCAGGAATGTTGTACGTGGATATAACTCGGCAAGAGCTAATTCCGAGTGTATTTGAGAGGGTTACTTGTGCCCTCTCATGGGCTGTAGGTTGGATAGTTCCTTCCTGTTGTCCTCTCCTGGACAAGAAATCAAGCCCCTACTCTTAGCAGGGATGCAGATTTTCTGGTGAAATGGAATATCAGATAGGATGTAACTCTATCTTTTTTCCCAGCCTAAATGCTTAGGAAGGTAGGAGGCATAGAGAATAAAATTGGCCCATGCGGCCCTGGTATTTTAATTGTAATATAGTTGATTTGGTTGAACAACAGGAAATAGAAAAGTCTATTTGACTGTCTTCCAGAGACTGAGTGGCAAAAAGCGCAATTTTTAAGAGGAAATACAACAGAACAGCTTGTTTAGCAGGAAAGCAATAGAGGGGAAATATTATTTCAGAATCCTGGACAAATTAGGGGATGAAGATTTCACTTAGAACTGTCGTGAACACTAGAGGGGGTTCCAGAAGCTTGAGCAAGTTATTTCATTCCATGGGTTTGTCAAAGTGATCACGGAAGGACTTAGTTCAGCAGAAAAATGGAACCCAGCCCTCGAGGGAGGGGGAAATGAATGACGTGAAGGGGTACTTGACTCACAGTTAATTCAATTTTACAGCTGATCGCGTGCCCTGTTATATAATATACAAATGCAACCTGAAGGCTGTGGTAGTGACTCACAGATTGCGTTTTCGGCTTTAATAACCATTTAGTGATGGAAGGCCTTTTGCTTAGGGTAGCAAAACCCACCCTTTCGTGTGTCAGTTCTCCTTGGTTCTCAACACAGCTTCTAGCCCTAGCTGCTCGACAAGGGAACCTGCAGGTGCTCCAAGGAGAAGGGGAAGGGAACTTGGGCTACTTGACGTCTGGTGCAATTTTGGACACCAGGCTCTGTTACGTATCTCAGAAGCACCTGCTAGATGAGTCCTTTTGCTGTTAATATCCTACTGTTTGCCGAGTTATTTTCACTGTTGATTTTTAAAGTCTTAAGGTCGTTTCATGCACAAACAAGTCACGCTGAGGTGAAAGCACGTTTAAAAACACTCTTGTTGAATTCTAAAACATGGGGATCATTCTACATCAATACTTAGCAGCCATGAGCTATTTTAGTGAAGACAGCATCGTTTCTATATCGGTACTAGAGGAAATGTTGTACCTGGATGTATGTGTTTGCATAGTGAATAGGAATCTCATTTTCAGGCTTTTCTGCACCTTGAGATCTTTCAAGCATACTTTTCCTTAAGGGAGGCAGCAGGAGCTTATGGAATGACCTCTCAGTCTGAATACACCAAGCACTTCTAGCGCTAGAAAGTCCCAGGCTTCTCTGGAAAGCTGAGAGTGCATTTTTAAGACATAGCACATCACAGGAAAAGCACTTCTGCATTCTCCAAAAAGCCCCTTTATCCATCCCAAAGCAAAGACATAGAGGAACTAGTAATGCAGCCAGAGGAGAGAGATGCATTTTTTTGTTTGTTTCTTTGACATGCCCTAAGATTAACTTGGTCCACAGGGCCTGGTTAAATTAATCTATAAAGCCCTTCTGGAACCCTTTGGTTGGAGGGAAGACAGACAAATCAGCACTGCAGTAATTCCTCGTGTTCCTTTTCCTGGAGTGGGCTGTGAATCTCTTCTCTTGCTTCCCACAGCTCTGCACTGGAATGGAAATTTTCCATCCTCTGGCACAGATTCCCCATCAGTTTGAACGAGGGGAGCTCACAGGAGGGGAGAAAGCTTAAGGAGACTTTAACACCTAGTCTGGTAAGTCAACCTGTGACTCTTGCCTTGGCCACGATGCCACAGACATTTCTCTACTGGAACAAACTTTATGCTGTCATGAGCAGAGACGGAGACTCTTTTTTTAAAGCATTATTAAAAAGCAACAACAAAATAAACCCCAATCTCATATAATTTGTGTTCTGAACTGGCACGAGGCTTCTGGGCAGTATGGTGAAAACTTGCCAAGGGGCCTTTGAGGGAAAGGAAATCCCCAGGTAAATGACAATATGAAAGTCTATCACTAACTTCAAAGTGCGCCATTTATTTGGCTTAATGCCATATAAATTTGGTATTGACTCATTACTTACTAGTCTTGACTTTAGTTCTTCAGTAAGATATTTGTTTCAGAAGAGATGGAAAATGGCAATTGTTTAGGCTTTTTTCAGGCTCCCACTGCTGATTTAATTGGTTCCTGTTTCTCAGGTGTCACTTGGTCATTAATTTGTGAATTTTTTGTCTCCAGGGAAATTAGCTGCCTATTTTAGCTCCAGGTGTTTTTTTCCCCAAGTTTAGTATCAGTTGCAGTCCAGATCTGGAAATAAGAACTTCCATAGGGGCTGTTTTTTATTTTGTTTTTCCTTCTTTGCTGCTAACGTTACTGAACTACAGGACACGCTACCACCAATAGTTGCCTTAGGATAATTCAGAGGGTGATTCATTGCAATGAGAGGATGCAGGAAATCTTTAAGTGGCTTCACAGCAATCACAGATGATTTTCCCTGAATAGGAGACTCGTACTGGGATTGTATGCTGCTTCAGGAACTTGGTTCTCTCTTAAACTATACCTGCTTTCAAGCTATGTTACTAAAAATAAGCTTTTTTGGTCAACTCAGCAGCTCAGCGAAAAGTCTGTTCACACAAATATTGTGAGTAAGATCGAGTGAACTGATAGGCCAATTTGCAAGCCTAAAATACAGCTCTTTTTCTGTTTTTGACCTATATGTGTCACACTTGTTGCAGTTTAGCCCATTTATCCTGTTGTTCAGACACAACAGACTTGGAAATGTTCTAATAGAATAAAAAAACTCATTTTCAGCCCGCCCACGTACTTTGGGCGCTGAACAGCACTGTCTCTCTCAAAGGCCGTTTGCCATCTAGCGGTTTAAATGCCGGTCAAAGGAGAGAAAATGGCAAAGCCAAACACTTAACAACTTTTCCTCTTACGCTTGCATCTCTCTATGTCTTTGAGGTGACAAGCCCTGCTGGAAAACAAACCGGCATTAGATGGCACTTGCTAGTATGTCCCTGGCAGATGCCTGAGCAGGGCATCTCCAGTTAGCTGCTATTTCTCCCGTTTCCTTCCTTGAAGACATCTGTTTTTATCATTAACATTTATGTGTGGGTATAGACATGGAAACCTAAGCACCATACGAATCTTTACCACGGTACTGATTAAATGCTACGTGTTTTATGTTCCTCTTTGCACCTCTATTTTTCCTTTGTAGTACACTTACCAACTTGTGATGGGTTTTAAAGGAGGTTACTGCTGTTATTGACATAAATGACCATAGAAAGACTCTAAAAAACTATACCCATCACTTTACTCTTTAAGAGCTAAAGTAATGGGCCTAACTTCAAAGAAGAGGGGAATTTGACGCTGGCAGAAGACAGATGGCCATTTATGTCTTTTTTTCATGAACTCAAAGTTTAATTGGTCATCCAGCTCCTTTTAAATTAGTATCTTAAAACTCTGGCTGTTCATATCCATTAAAGAGCTGAAATCAAGCAGGCCTTGCACATGAGTACTGTTGAGTAGAGTGCAGTTCAGCTGTGTCTATATTGCAATATGCTATTTGAAGGTGTCTGTGGCTCTTTTATTTACTTATTTGTTCCTCTATTTGCAGCATTAATCGACGGGAGGAATCCTTGCTCCAGAGCAGGCAGCTTTTACCTCAGTTCTGGAGGAGGGCTGTCTTTCTCCTTAAATCGGGGGAGACGGGGGGGATTTGCTCAATTGAGGTGAGCGAGCCGCCAACGCTCGCGGAGACGTTTCCCCGCGCAGCCTCCCTGCCAGAAAACGCTGTTTCAAACGTTCTTTGCGCTCACAAGCGTTTTCGGAGCTCTCGGGAACGCGCCCCGCAGCGCGGGAGGAGGCGGCGCGGCCCCGCCCGCCTGACGGGATCGCGGCGCGACGGTTTTGCTGCAGGTGCGGGCCGAGCCGCGCCGAGCCGCGCCGAGGCGGCCCGGGCAGGAGCGCGGCGGCCGTGACGCGTGTCCGTGTGTCCCTGTGTCCGCAGGTGCTGTCGCGGGGGGTCACGTTCGCGCTCAACGCCTTCACGCTCCGCCACCTCTCCCGGGAGCTCATCGGCGTCGTCGGCGTGAGGTGAGCGGCAGCCGGGGGGCTCTGCGGCCGCAGGACGCGGCTCTGCGCGGTAGCGCCAAACCTGGCCGTTTTGCCCTGGGTTTTGTAGCATTTTTTTGCACTCTCCGTGCTGCTGCGTTTCTTTTCTGCCCTGAAACCTAACAGAGGCTCTGCTTAGCCCGTTTTAATGCAAAACGGTGGAAGAAAGCTGGGGCAGCATTCTTGCATGCAACTGCTGCAAATCTCACATCAACATTATTGCCCTGAGGTATTCCTGAAGTGTTTTTGCCATCAATTTTAACATAAAATTGCTTTCCTGCCTTCCTAAAAGGTGGTGATGTTTTACCTCTTCTACTCATGGCACAGGAATATTTAATTTATGGACTGAATTGATTTGGTTTGTGTCTCACAGTCCTGTGTGAGAATTTTGCCCATAATCACCCCACAGGAGCAGTTTTGGCCCTAGATCACAGAATAGCTGAGGCTGGAAGGGACCTCTAGAGACCATCTAGTCCAGCCCCTGCTCCAGCAGGGACACCCAGAGCACAGGGCATCCAGGCGGGTTTGAAGAACTCCAGAGAAGGAGCCTACACAGCCTCTCTGGGCAGCATGTGCCAGGGCTCTGGCACCCTCACAGCAAAGAAGTTCATGGAGATGGAGTCTGGAGTTCAACTTGCACCCATTACCCCTCATCCTGTCGCCGGCCACCACTGAGAAGAGTTTCGCCCCATCCTCCCTACATTCTCCCCTCATCTATTTGTACACATTGATAAGATCTAAAGGTTTATTCCATCCTCAGTCTTTCTGAGAACAAGTTCAGAAACTGCATGTAAAGGAGTAATTTCTCTCTCTTTTTTCTTTCTTTTTTTTTTTTTTTTCTCTCCTGTGTCTTTAGGCTGACACTGCTCTATTCAACAGTTCTCTTCCTGGCCAGGGAGGCGTTTCGCAGAGCTTGTCTGAGCGGAGGCACGAAGCGCAACTGGACAAAAACCATCAACCTCCTCTGGCTAACGTAAGGAACCTTATAAACTGATATTTATTCTTTGTGTGTGTGTGTTTTTTTTTTCCAAGAAGCAAAAACAAAATGAAAGCAAGTATTGAGACAATTATTTCACAAGTGAGCCACTCAATATTCAGTTTTATTTTCAGGGCTGATATGGAAGTAGTGAGCTCTGTTTTTAACTCTGTGAACTTTATTTTTTGAGTAAGCGGACATTTTGACCGAATACATGGTCCTTTTTCTCTACTTGCCTATGGATTAATAAAGCAATAAGACTAGACATTTGTGAAGGTGTGTTTAAACTGAGTTGGAGACCCAGTTTGAGCTAGGCTTTTATTTTTTCAGAGCTCTTTTTGTCAGAGTTTGAGCCCCAACACATTTTAATGGCAACACATTTTAATGTGTGCTATTTATTCCTTTCTCCTAGCGAAGCATAACTTAAAATGAAGATTAATTTTCTTGAAGGATGTGAAACCTTCAAATACCTTAGGGATGAGCTAATGGGAGGGTTCTGCTGCTCTGGTGCAGAACTTCCTGCAGTCTACCAGAGGCTTGGTGTTCTTGAAGCAGTGTCAACAGAAGGTGATACATGTCTGCATGCTTGTGCATAGCTTGGCCCCTTAGCTGCAATCACTAATTGAAGGAGCTTTGAGCTATATAGCATAGCAATATAAATTGCTGTGTACCTCTGGGTGCAGGCATGCATTTTCTTTTGCTGACTCTGCTGTCATTCTCAGGAAGCCAGTGATCTCTGAAAGTGTGAGATGAGCACTTGGAGGGGTGACAAGGTTTGCTGTTCCACCAGAATTCTCCAAAGTTCCTCATAAATCATATAATTTTATTTTTATTTTTATTTTTTTTAAAGGCACAGGGTGAAGTTATTTCAGTAACTTTACAGGTTGGTATGGGACCAGAATTGTTCAAGCCTGGAAAATCCAGAACATAGATAGTTGACCTGATTCTTAACTAGGAAGAAGACGAGTCAGAAAAATTTTTCCTTATCTGTGTCTTAAAATGTATAAGGCTGTCTGCTAATAAAAAATAAATAAATAATAATAATAAACCCCACCACAAACCAGAACTGAAATATAACCGAAATAAGTGTAGAGCATTTTTTTAAAAATGTGTCTATATGTGAAATTTTAATCCAATTTCATATTTTTAATATCACTTTAACAATTGCTTCTATGTTAACTTTTTAGGGTTCCTCTTGGCGTTTTCTGGTCTGTTTTCTTGGGCGCAGTCTGGCTGCAGTTGCTTGAAGTGCCTGATCCTACCGTGGTTCCTCATTATGGGGCTGGTGTGGTGGCATTTGGTCTTTCTGCAGTTATTGAGCTTCTGGGAGAACCTTTCTGGGTTTTAGCACAAGCTCATTTATTCGTGAGACTTAAGGTTAGTAAAGCAGACTAAGTATATGGGACACAGGGGAAAAACCCTCTCTGTTGAAGAGAAAATGAAAAGGTAATGCAAAAAAAACATTCCCACACCGGATGTTTGTGTGTTCGAGCACATTAAAACATGTCAAGCTGAATAGTGTATCACTTATACCATGAGTGCATGCTGTTAAAGCAAGGATTAAAGTTTATTTAGAAACTATCATCATACTGATCACTGAAGATGTAATCAGGAGTTTTAATTGGAGGGAGAGGCATGTAATTTTTGTGATTTTGCATTTTAATTGATTGTGAATATTAAATTGTGAAATGTAGTGGTTGAGAACATGATTGAGCAAAACTTGCTGCCTTGTACAAGAGACTGGAAAAGTACAATGAAGGGAGTTGTGCAACACAAGGGTAGAGGATTTGTGGAGTAATTGCAATTTAAGATGATCAACTCAGTAGGAGGGAAACTTTGCAATAAAGTTCCTCTGACTTTTTAAATTTATTTTACCCAATTTGTGTGTGAAATGTGTGTTAAGTATCTGTATGTGGTTTAAGCTGGTAGAAAATAAAATGTCCCATTTTTCTTTTTCTTAAAGGTAATTGCTGAAAGCTTTTCTGTATTGTCAAAATGTGTTTTAACGGTTATTTTAGTAATACTTTATCCTCAGTGGGGCCTTTACATCTTCTGCCTGGCACAGGTGAGTTCCTGTGTTGTTTTTTTCTGTAAATTCTTGATTCCACTGATGTATTTTTTTTTCTTTTATCTTTCTTAACTAAATAACTAATAATTATTAGCTAAATAGCACAGAGGTGAGAGAAAATGCTCCTGTAATGTGTAAGATGCAGCATGGTACTGATATTCATTGACTTAGACTTCACCTAGATCATGTTGAGAGGTATAAGAAAGTGTCCTGTGCAAGAGGGCATGTTCTGCAAGAAAGGTTGTGTTATTCTATGCAAGCTTTATTTTATTTTTTTTCTAAAAAACTTACACATGCTCATGCTTGAGGAGCCAGCTCCTCAGCTGGCTTCAGTGTTGATTTAATGCTTGACTTCATGTTGTGTACCAGGTGATAATGAAAAGTTCTAACAAGGTCTCTTTGCACTTGTTTGTCTTCGGTTAAGACTTTCTTTACTGCAATAAAGAATGAATATGCTCGTTGTTGAGATGTGGCTTGTGTCTTATCAGGTTATCTGTGCCACGCTGGCTGTAGTATATAGCTTGTGTAGACACTAATTGCTCTGACAATTCCCCCTGACTTCCCTTCAAATGAATAATTGCTTTAAAATTGCGCTGAGTATGTAATAATAAAAATACTGGATAGAATACACCTATATAAAAAAAAAGCTGATAAAGTGCCAATCATGATGCTCAGCTACTGATTAGCATATCAAAATCAACAGCTTTTTTTTGATCTTCTTGTTACTTAGTATCTTCAGCCTAACATTTAACAGGGCTTAAATCTATTTAATATATTCTCATTCATTTACTGAATTTAGCATTCTAGCATGTAACTATAAGTTAATTTTGTATCCTTGGTCTTATCTCTTTTTTCTCCTTCCAGCTTTTATATACCAGTGTACTGGTAATGTGCTATGTCATTTATTTTATGATATTTCTGGGATCTCCTGAAGCAACAAAGAAGTCATTTCCAGTCACTCGAATGAAAGCGCTTTTACCAAACTTGGTAGAAGATGAGGTAGGTCACACAGTTTAATTCTTAATTTTGCAGTCTTTCTTGGGGGAAAGATTTGAAAATTAGTCTGAGGCACTGGAGCTGACAAGTGGGATTCTGGTGGGTATCTCTGAACTGTGAAAGAAGCTGTTTACTGTGTCCTCTCAGGAGGAAATCAGGCAAGGGAAGAAATGAAAAGCCATAAGGAGGGAAGATGATCTTTTGAAAACCTTAGAAATTGAGGTCCTTGTAGGTTGCTAGACTTCATGGAATGGTTTAAAGAGTGGTAAGATGCCTGCAGTGAAGGTCAGTGTTATACTGACCTGATTAAAATCATTTTTCTCTCATCTCTCTCTGTTGTGGTACTGAGCAATCTTTTCTGTAGAAAAATCTTCCAACTCCTTTAGCTATCCTGAGCAATAGTAATTTTCATCAACGGAAGAAGAGTTACCTGGCCACATCAGAGCAAAGTCTGTGCTTGTTTTTAGATTTGTCAGGAGGAAAATCCACAGTGTCGTAGCTGTTAATTTGTACCCTGTGGTTAGAGCTGGCCCAGAGTTGTGTCCTGTCTTTCAGTTTTGTGATTCTACTGGGCAATTTCAGTGATGTTTATTACATTACAGTATTTTTTCTTTCCACAGACTTTTGTTAACTGGAAAGAGGCACGATTGACTTGGAGTTTTTTCAAACAATCTTTCTTGAAACAGATTTTGACGGAAGGTGAGGCTGGATATATAGGTGCAATGGAGAAGGGCCAGGGTCTGGAGGAGGTTGCTGAGATTGGAATTACAGCCTGCCACGATAGGGCAGCACTGGGGTTAGCTGAACTAGCCTGTCCTCTGCTGTGTGTGGGAGGAAAACAAACTTAAAGCAAACAAAACCAAACGTTTCACTGTCCTTGACTATGTAGTAACTGGTAAAATTTTTCTTCACTGAAAAGAGGAAATAATGATAAAACAGATGAGTGGAAAATACAGATGCTAATGAATAATATGATAGTTATACAGTTGACTTGGAGGTTGAGAGAGCTGTTGGGAGGCTGATGTTCAGAAGTTGTCACCAGCAGACGTAGCCAACCCAGATGATGCTTTTGAGGGTCTTTGGAACTAGCAGCTGGTCCTGTTTGATCTTGTCTCTCGAATCCTTAGTGCTTAAAATAAGTGAATAAATACTTGGATGGTTTTAGACTCTATTTGCACTTACTGGCGATGTCTGTATTTTGAACTTTCAGGGGAACGATATGTGATGACTTTTTTGAATGTGTTGAATTTTGGAGATCAAGGTAAGTGCAATAATGCTGTGCAGTGATGGTGCAGTTGGTAAGTCCCTTTTTTGAGTTAAATTCTGTAAGTTATTTTCAAAATTAAAAACTTTAAAATCTGTGAAGCCCTCGAAACCTTTGTGACTTTGAGGAACTTGTCAGAATGATTGAATGGATATAGAAGAGAGAATTTATGGTACTCAGTTTCAATTTAATTTTCCTCTGGATCCAAACTTTCCAGCTGGACAGTTAATGTAGTAATGAACAACAGAAGCAATTCAGGTGACTGAGTTGGCAGCGTCTCAGCTCTTTCCACTTGGGAAATGAAAGGCCATAACTGCAGGCCCACTCTTACTTTTGTGGCAAGTTGAAACTACTCTTCCCCTGTAAATACTGACAGTGTAAATGCTTCTTCCCAGGAACTGCAGCCACTTGCCGTCCTCCTTGCCTGAGGAATTGAGCTGTCCCTTATTCAAAGGGTCCTAAAAGACTGATGAGGACAGAAATGTTAAATTAGGATACGTGTCATCGTTGAAGGCTTAGAATTAAGTTGGTTCTTAATTTTAAGGGTTGTTGTATCTCTCTTTTTAAAGGTGTATATGATATCATAAATAACCTTGGCTCACTGGTGGCCAGGTTTATATTTTTGCCTATTGAAGAGAGCTTTTATGTCTTTTTTGCTAAAGTATTGGAAAGAGGGAAGAATGTAAAGCTCCAAAAGCAGGTATGTTTCATTAAGATGAATTACATGTCAGATGTAACTTGCTTTTTGTTTCACGGGAGTGTGACAGAAATGTGTGTGTTAAATTTTTGAAGATAAAGCCTCTTAAAGTTGAAAATAAAAATTGATAGCAAAAATGAACAAAAAAAGGGAGGCTGGACTTGAACAAAACAAGAGTACGTAAAATTCAAATGAAATGGGAATGAAGGTATGCAGTGGCATAACACTACATTATATTTTAGCTGACATTAACATCTGCTCTAAATAGTATGATGGAAACCCTTGTGTACAAAGTGTTTTTGGATAGACTAAGGCAATTATATTGTAAGAAAATAGCATGTTTTTGTGATGTGATCTAACAAATTAATGCCTTTGAAAATACTTGACTTATTGAGTATAATTTACATTAAACACTAATGCTTCCAAAGAATACAGCTTTGAAAAGAAAAAAAAGAGAGTGCATTTTACTTGAACTTTTGAATTGAGGTAGAATAGCAAGGGTTTATGGTAAGTAATGTGAGAGTGAAGGGTTTATTCTGCGGAGCATTCATACATGCTCTAGATAAGAAATACTGATCCAACATGAAGTTCAACCTGAGCTTTTTCCTATTCTTGCTTAACTCCTCTTTAGAGTAATCTTAGCACTCTTTCAGAAGTTAAGACTGTTGTTAACATGATACCAGAGCGTAATTTTGACATTTTTGTGCAGCATACAAACTGACTTTTTGCCTAAAACAGCTTTTCTGTGTGAAAATAACTATTGTTTGGGATTCATGTAATTGACTACAGTATTTTTCAGGATGATGTTGCTATGGCTGCAAGTGTGTTAGAATTGCTGTTGAAGCTTGTCCTTCTGATTGGCCTTACCATCACAGTTTTTGGCTATGCCTATTCTCAACTGGCTCTGGATATTTATGGAGGCTCAATGCTCAGTTCTGGAACAGGTATAGAAGTAGAGAGCTGCCAAAGCAGCAATTTTATCTAAAGGGAAGCTGTAGCAGTTGGGAATTATTGGGTTAAATCAGTTGCTCTGGCTATCTGAGCAAGGTCACCTCAGATGAAAAGGAACTTCAGTTCCTCATTAGGTCTCAGTAATTTAAGTGTACTCTGTTTTTACCTGATTCTGTTCTGGATTTTTTTTCTTAATCCTGTTGCATGCATTTAAGCTTGAAATACTGCCTTTCTCATTGGAGCTTGGGAAGTTTCGCTGGCATCTGCTGTAAAAGTTACAACCTTGCTTGGCAGCAGCATTGGAGGTATCTGTAGGTTTGCTGGCAATGAAGAGTGAAGAAACTGTGTCTTGGGATACTGCAGAGTGCCCTGCGTTCCACCTCTGTAAACTGTTGTGTCTGGCTCTTAATGATGTTGCTGGCAATGAAGAGTGAAGAAACTGTCTTGAGATACTGCAGAGTGCCCTGTGTTCCACCTCTCTAAACTGCTCTGTCTGGCTCTTTATGATGTTTTTGTTGCTAGATGCAGCTGACACTGATCATTGCTGTCTTACTCCAGTAAGATAACGGAGCATCCTTCCCAAAACTGCCTTGTGTGGATTGTACAGGATAAAGCTGAATTATGCAGAAAGCAGGATTGTTTAGGCAGGTGGATAAATGTTGCAGAAAAGCTATTACAAGCAGACTTTTATTAGAATCAGTAAATGTAAAAACTGTTTGGTTTTGTAACAGAATGATTCATTAATCATTTTCATGGTTTTATTTTTTTCAGGTCCGAGTCTTCTTCGATGTTACTCTCTCTATGTCCTATTTCTTGCTGTCAACGGAGTAACAGAATGTTTTACATTTGCTTTGATGTGCAAAGAGGAGGTAGACAGGTAGAATATTCCTCTAGCTACTCTCCATGGTCTGCATGGAGTTCAGTGTCTAAACAGATAAACAGGATTATTGTCCTGCATGAATGTGTGTTTGGAAACTAGCTTGAACCCTAACCTAACTTGAACTTAACACGATTTTAACATTGCTACTTGTATAAGAAAGAAAACAGCCTAATTTGTGCCAGAAATGTAATGAAACTTCCTTTCATTTCCTAGCATGGGTGCTTTGGGTGTATGTGTATGATGACTAGGATATGAGAAAGGTTTAAGTTCTCTGCTTTCCCAAAGAAGTCCTTGTACACCTGCACCCTGCAGTGCTACTATCAGATGTTTTTCATTTCTGTAGCATCTGTCTGTTGCAAGACCCCTTCAATAATAATTGAAATGAGCTATTTTCCATAGGCAAAGCAGTACCTTTTTTGTTTGACAAGGTCTACTTTCATTATTCTTTTATAGTGTGAACTTGTCTTCAAAGCCACAGTTCAGAGCAGAAACTGAATAAGGTTTCACCTTCTTTTTGAGTGTTATTTTTCTTTAATAGCTACCTAATATAACAATTGTTTAAAAAAAACTGCAACCCATTATTACTTGATTTGACTTTCAGATGTGATTATAGAGTTACGTGAGGGAAATTCTATTTCATTACTTAATGGTAGTGCTTGGTTTTTTTGTCATGTTTCCTACTTTTCCCATGAGATGTTTTATTAACATCTCTGTAGGCAGATTTGTCTCTATTTCCGTTAGAAAAGGAGAAGATAATTCGTCTATTCTTCTTTTTAGAAAATAAATTGTGGTATTTGTTTTTGGATATACGCTTAGTAAATAAGTATAATAACTTACATTATTTAAATTTGTTTTTTCTTCTCCCTAGGTACAACTTTGTCATGCTGGCCTTGTCCTTCACGTTTCTGTGCATCTCTTATTTCTTGACCCATTGGCACGGCAGCGTTGGCTTTATCCTTGCCAACTGCTTCAATATGGGTATTCGAATAGCCCACAGCATCCACTATATCCATGATTTCTTCAAAGAAAGCAGTTACAGACCTCTGGCAGGCTTGCTGCCCTCACCACTTCTGCTACTTGTGTATATCATAAGTGGAGCAATTACTGTTTTCTCGGAGGTAAGTATCTTTGGCAGGTTTGTTTTCACTCTAGAATTAGTGTCAGATGACCTGTGTTTCCCCAAGCAGTGAAGTTAAGTTAAACAGCTCCTGATCCATAGGCTGGAAGCCTTTCATTACAGGCTTGCAAAGCTGCGTCCATCTATTACGAGATTAAATTAATACATATGATAAATTGAACTTCACAAGTATATTTCTATGTGATACATGTAGAACGTGCAGGAATTGTGCATCTACAGACCTCTGCCTCCTTGAGGAGGAGTAGCTGGCAAGAAGTAGTCTAGCATATTTTTACTGTTTGTAGATGAATTAAGCTCCTCATTTTTTAAATAATATTAGAAATCTTGCAGTAGAGCAGAGAAACTGCCATTAATGTAAGCGGCAGTGAGGAAGGGGGGGATGCCCAAGATAGAAAACAAAATTACCCCTTAATGTGTCAACATATTTCTACATGGCAAATGACTTGTTTATTAGGTATATACTTGTGCTTATTTTTTGCTGTTGGACAGAAATTCTTTTTGTAGTCAAAGAAATGTCGTGGCTCCCAAACATTATTTTTATATGTATATAAATCAATATGTATAGCAAATCTTTCTAGCACCTGCTTATAATGTTTGCCTGGATAATGTTGGTGCCATGGACAACAGGGAGTTTCCCCTTGCGCTCGCTGTTCTTGCTCCTGTTGCTGGTTCCCTTTGCAGGTGTTTTTTTGCTGCGACCAGGGTTGGGTGGCCAGGCTGCTGCACGTCGGCGTGGGAGCCCTGTGCTTCGCAGCAACCATCGCTACCATGTTCCACACGGAGACCAAGCTCCTCCACTTCATCAGAGGCCAGTTCCTCTCACAGTACATGAAGAAAGGAACCTAAAACGCTCGTGTGGAGAACAGATATTGTACACGCTTGCAATGAAGGGCTCTGTTTTTGCACGTAAAATATGTGCAGAGAGATCTTTCCATGTGAATTTCTTAAAACCATCTGTATTGGAACTAAAACGGAAATGGTTGCCGACTGAATGCTATTTTCAAAGTCAATCAGTATAGTGAGAGAGCTGAGTCATTTCTTTATGCATCGTTCGTTTCTCAGTTTTCCTTCAGGCAGCCTCAGTGTCCTCTGTGGTGATTGAATAGCCAGAATGCATCTTCCTGATGTAACCTAGTGGACAGGCTTCACGTGGGGAGCTCCTGTTCTTACCAGTCTGGCGTATGTGGATGAAGGCACAGCATGCCTTACATCTTAATTAAGATGTAATTAAGGAAGCACTTTCAGAGGTGGCCTAACTGGAGAAGAAATTGTCTGACATGAAAAACGCTGAAGAACTTAGCACTAGAGCAAGGACCAGTAACGCTGTAGCTGCTGTTGAACATAGAACTGAGCGCAGAGAACTGAATTACCAGTGTCTCAAAGTACCAAGCAGGGAGTACAGAGCTTCTGACCTCTTCAAGTAAGTTAATAGACACTGTGTCTCCATGCTAACTATGCAGGAATATTTATTTCATTCCACGTATTTTTCTTTTGTGAGGGTATTTTTTGGAGGGGAGGGAAACACACACCTTCTACTGAATATCAGTGGAATTTGGAGCCCAGTTTTATGAAAGGCTCTGGTGTGCACACTCACACTGAAGGGGAAGTTCTGGAACTAAGTTTGAGTTAACCAACAATAATCTGCTGCACTGTTTTTTTTTTTTTTTTTTTTAACCTGAGAATTTAATTGCCAGCGTGAACAAATTCTTACCTCAAAGGGACTTGTGTTTGCCTACCAAGTCCAATACTTAATATGTTTTAATAAGATTGCTTTTGTGCATATGCATACTGAGACTTTGGTTACTAGACAGAAAATCCTTCCTTTTGTTTAAAGTAGATTTTTTCTCTTGTCTTGTGCCTTTACTTGTTCTGTCTTAACCTTTGCATTTTTTTCCATTGTTGAAAAATTCAAACATACAAAAGCTATAAAATGAGATATTGGTCTTCTGTGTTTTACTAAGAGGTGTTTTCTGTTGCTTATCTGTGATACGAATTTGACAGGTCTGGACTGTTCAGATGGCAGGTGTTTATAATTGGTTTCCCTTGGCAACATTTATATGGGATAAAAATGTCACGTGATGAAAAATGTCCTTGAACTTGTACACTCCAAAGGTTTAGTTAATTACATGACCAAGAAGGGTGGAGTTGCTCAAGAATGCTCAATGTAATGGCATTATGGACCATTGCTCCCAGAGAAAAATGCTTTTTGGAATCATTGTGTTGGACTAGGTGCTATTAGGACCATGCCAGAGATGTTTTATATATGACAATTTAGTGGCAGAGAAAGAACATCGTAGAACAGGCAGAACATAAAGGTGAGAGGAAAAAGAAGGTGCCTCTCTTCATTTAATGGTGCTGTTCCTTTTGCCTTGCTGGAAGGTGGTAGATGGATACTTGCCTGTTCTGATATGATTATGAAATCTGTCTAAATAAAATAGAGAACAGCTTTCTGTACTGCTGTGTGATTTCTTTTTTTATCCTTATTTATTTTTCTTTTTTTTCCCAAATCATCTTACAGTCTTTTTTCTTAATTATTGTAAACTATCTCTTCATAGAGTTGCTATTACCTCTTAGGTCATAGTTTCACCACACAAAAGGGCTGCCTTAAGACCGAGCATTATTTCCAGGCTCTGTTTTTCTTTTCCTGTATGACTGGCCCTCATTGTGCGAAGAGCTCAATCCGTTAAGTAAATTCTAGCCATTTGCTGGGATGAGAAACATGTATTTAGCCAATGTGCTCTGAAGTTTCCACACAAAAGGGTCTCGAATCCCTGCTGTCTTGTCTAGCCTCATGGTTGCAGTTGTAGTGATGCTACTTTTGCTGCTGGTTCTGCAATAATTAAGGCAATGATGGGATCTCCTTGCCCAAATAGTGGGCTGTCCAGCCTGCTAAATGCTCAAAATAAATGTTGCAGTTCAGTTTCAAAGTGGAAAGGCTTTATAGACTTCTCTTGCTTCTCAGCAATGGAAATGGAATTTTGTATTAACTTCTTATTATTCAGGAAGACATTTAAAGTGGCTTCATTATTGTTTATTTGCAAATCGGGGGTACATTTTTCTTTCGAATTGGGTCTGTAAGATCTTTAGTGTTTGCGTGTGTAGCAGGAAACCGTAAGAGGGACAGAAATGCAGATCTATGGAGGTGTCCCCTTATTTCTTACTTATCTGCGTCATTCCTAATGTGAAAGCTGTTAATTGCCTTATTTGTAGCAAAAAAATACTGTCAAACTCTGGGACGAAGCTGGAATTAAACTTGACCAAATTTCCTTTGGGTTTATGGTTCTGTGTGTTAAAGGCAAGAAGGGAGTGCTTATTGGTAGATACCCTGAAGCTGTTCTGTAGTTTTTCTCTGAGATCTTGTATTTCAAACCAAAATAGTTACAGTCCTTCTCTTTGGAGCAAAGAGTTATAATTTCATACATCATATGCCAAGTTGAATTAAACTTAAAGAATGATATTTAAGCAATTGGAAGATACAATGGTGTATTAGAATAGTCTTGAATGAAGTTTGTCTCCTGTATCTCTTCTACAGGTAGATTAATCAACTAGCCTAGGAAATTACATAGTATTTCCTAACAAACATGAAGACAAAATTTATTGCAATGACTTATAAGAAGTGGCATCTTTATAGTCACTTTTTTTCTCTTTCCTTCTGTAAAAATAAGTGCTTATATGAGCTGGAATGACTGTTTTGTTTGTTTTTTTAAACAGTGTTGTTTTGGAAGATGATGTTTAAATGGCCAGGAGTAATCTTGATGCTTAATGAGGTTTGTCGGCTTAATTATACTGCAGTTGACAATATGGATGGACTCTTGGGTACTAACCAAATATTAAACCGTTCTGATTGCTTTTCCTTCTGTCATCAATGTTGTGCTTGTCTTGCTTGTCTCTTCTGTTTTTTATTGCAAAGCATCATGTAGGGCTGCCTTTTATGAAGAAGACTTTTCCTGGAAATGCAAAACTTTTGTTTATTGTCTCCTAAGTACAAATATAAATAATACAGCAACCATAAGAGAAAGATGGAGTGAGGTATTTAAATAGCAGGTTATTAATGAACTTAAGGGGAGTAAGTGGCTGTTTCTGCCTCACTGTTACACGGTGGGCTGGTGCCAGGGAAATTAAAACAGCCATAAACCTGTGCAGAAAACTGAGTGTAGTAGAAACTCCCCAGTAAATTGTGTTCCTAGATAGTTTTGTCTGTGCAATGCAAGATGGATTCTCTGTTCCAGGCTAACTCATTGCAGGTGTGAAAACTGCTCTCTGGACCTCTGTGCTGCTGCTCAAGGTAAAAGGTGGGGAGGAGCTGGTGTGTTTGGGAAGCTGCATCCTCTGAGTTGAGGGAGATTTTGTTTAATCCAAGTAATTTAGGAATTTGATTCTTGAGAAATCTAGCTGCTTTTTTTGCTCAAGGCTGACTTGAGAAATTAAATAATCTTGGAATGAGTTTGTGCATCATATCTCCATGGCTGCTGGGGTCAGATACCTCAGAGGAGGGTACAGTAACACCCTGTATGGCAAGGAAAGCTGCACAGCTGGAAAATTTCTTTGTGAATCCATACTGTGAGTGTAAAAAGGTCCTGACTTGTCTGTTTTCCTTTGGCAAAGTTCCTGGTTATCTGCAGCTTTGTCTAACCAACTCTCATTGATGAAACCTGCAACTTAAATTCCTTAAATTGTCCTAGGCACCTCTGTGATTGTGAAATTTGGTATAGGAAGATAAATTTGAGAACAGATTTTTAGGGATAATATTTGATTTGTTTTACATATTGATGCCCCCAGGGTGACTGTGATGGCATTACAGCCTTTTGTTGCCAGGTGTGGGTCAAATCCTGCCGTGTCTCTCTGTTGGTGTTTAAATTCCCTATGAAGAAGGCTATAGAAAAATAACTATAATTCCCAATACCTGAGAACACTCCTGCACTCAGTCTGCTGCTAGATAAGGTACAAATAACAAAACACCCTTTAGTGATATAAAATACTTTAGATAATTTCTTTTGCTTAATGTGCTTTAGTAAGTGTAAATTACAGCAGCAGATGCGGTGCTGGTTATGGCTGAACACCAGTAAAAGGTGCTGACTCGATGGCTTATATAAAGAATTCCCTGAGTTGTGAGTGTCTTGATAGAAGCAAGTCCTAATTAGTTGGCTTATACATAGTGCTTAAATCTGAACTTTGATTTTCTTCTTGTGTGTTTTGTGTTTCTTGATGTTTAAACGTCGTGTTTTGTTTCATTTCTCACTCGCCCCCTTTAAAAACTCCCTCGTATTAGAGATGATTTGGGGGGAATATTCAAATCTGAGGCCTTTTGAAGCGTATCACTACATGAATAGATCTGCTAAGAGATCTAAGGACTTTGTTCAGCAGAGAATTTGGGACTCATTTGTATTCTACAGTGCGATGTCAATGTGCTTTATTTTCCTTACAAGCTTAAAGTGAAATTTAGAGTTTTCCATCTGATGAACAGCTGGGCCATGGAAACTGAGAGCAAGGCATGCTCGAAAGCATTAACATCTGGAGCATCTAAACAAAAGAGCAATAGGAAGTGCTCCTTTCCATTTGAGGTTAAAAAGAAGCTTGTGCTCTACAGTCATCATTTTTCATCTGCAGATTTAAAAATAATAATAATAATAAAGTTTGACTCAGAGTTGGGAACATACCATAGTTTGGTAGGTTCCAGCTATGTGGGTTTTTTTTGTGTGTGTGTGTTGGTTTTGGAGGGTTTTTTCGCATCTTAACAGGATAAAACAGCTTATGGTTAAGTTGCATATATCCAGGTTCTAGTTGCGTTTGGTGAAAGTTGCCTGAACAAAATGACTCCGGGGGAGGATTGTAGATGGCAAATACAGTTAACTTACAGATCCTCTGAATTTAAACAAGGAAGCAAAAAAGAGATTTTACAATAGTTTGGGTAGACGG